GTTCCTTTTGGTTTGGTACAAAGTGAGGGAGGAAAAAAGTTCAAAACTAGAGAAGGTGAGACAGTCAAATTAAAAGACCTTTTGCAAGAAGCGGTTCGTAGAGCAGAAGAGGATTTCAGAAACCGTTTACAAGCTGAAGGAAGAGAAGAAAGTGAAGAGTATATAAAGAGAGTAGCACATGTCATTGGTATTGGAGCAATCAAGTATGCAGATTTGAAGAACAATAGAACTTCCAATTATCAGTTTTCATATACCAAAATGTTATCCCTTCAAGGTAATACTGCACCTTATATGTTGTATGCCTTTGCAAGGATACAAGGAATCTATCGCAAGGGAGATTTAGACCTGAGTGATGGACAGTCAGAAAGTATACAATTCATTTTGGATGATCCTACCGAATTGTCTCTTGCTAAAATGTTGCTTCAGTTGGAAGAAATGTTGTATTTACTAGAAAGGTATCTATCTTATTATTTTTCTTATGAACCAACTGTTATCACTTGGCAATAGGGATCTGAAGCCTAATATCCTCTGCGATTATATGTTTGAACTAAGTCAACGCTTCAACCAATTTTATGAAACTTGTCCTGTTCTAAAGGCAGAATCTTTACAAAGAAAAACCTCACGTTTGGCTTTGTGCAAATTGACGGCAAACACTCTCCAGCTTTGTTTACATTTGCTTGGAATCCCTACTCTAGAAAGAATATAAACAAAATAAATATATGAATCAAGCATTGGGGAACTTCTCGTAGGTCCTTATACTACTCCTCCTTTATTGAATGACCTTGTTGACTGATATCAAAAACAATTCACAAAATACAAAAGTTCCAACAAGTTCTTCGAGAAAAGGTGTTCACAAACACCATATGTTATAAAACAAAAAGATATTACGAAGAGGTATACTTGGTTACTGCTTTCGTACCTTCCGAAACGGCATGCTTCGCAAGTTCTCCTGGAAGCAACAGACGCACGGCTGTCTGTATTTCACGTGAAGTTAAAGTCTTCGTCTTGGAATAAGCTGCAAGTTTACTGGCTTCACTGGCAATGCGTTCAAATATATCATTCACAAAGGAATTCATGATACTCATAGCCTTCGAAGATATACCAGTATCAGGATGCACTTGCTTCAAAACTTTATAGATATATATGGCATAGGATTCGGACCTCTTCTTCTTAGACTTTTTATCACTTTTCGTGATGGGTTTTTTTCCAGCAACAGGAACACTCTTTGCACCTTTCGGAGCCATTTTATCAAAATGATCAAATCAATAAACTTCTCTCTTTCCTCGCCTTGCCCTTTTATAGAATAATTGCTGTGGCGGGCACAGGCGGGTTGGATGGAAAAGCAGGGCCCCCAATCCACCAAATCTGCAATGTGATTGGATAACTCAGACCTCAAATGATCTGTTCAACAAGCCCGCTTTCGCGGTTGATCATGCTTTAAGTAGCGAGCTTCTATAAGATTGTCTACTCACAATTTTTTGTTTACAAACAGTCTATATTACAAGCAATGGCCCCCAAGGAACGTAGCAAACCAAAGAGTCGCTCTTCTAAAGCAGGCTTGCAATTTCCAGTAGGAAGGGTGAGTCGGTTTTTGAAAAATGGCAACTATGCCGAAAGAGTTGGAGCTGGAGCACCTGTGTATTTGGCAGCAGTCCTTGAATACTTAACAGCTGAAGTTCTTGAATTGGCTGGAAACGCAGCTCGTGATAACAAAAAGACACGAATTGTTCCTCGTCATATCCAACTAGCAGTGCGAAACGATGAAGAACTGAACAAGTTATTGGGTGGTGTTACTATTGCGTCGGGTGGTGTTTTACCCAACGTTCATCCTAACCTGCTTCCCAAAAAGAAAGCAAAGGAAGAATAGGTTGTCTATAACCATCAGGTGTCTGTAGACACCCATTTTATGAAGAAAACTTGGTCACACGTAAATATAATTCTTCTTCCATTCGAAATTTGTCCAATAAACCATATTTGGGGACTCGAAATGTGTGGCTCTCATTGCGGGAAAATTTCCATTTGGCCTGTGGAAGAAAGCTGTTCGATACGACGTCTATTTTCTTAAGCCAGTTGCTCTTTATCTAAGAATTTTATGGATGTTCCTTCGTATCGATTCGAATGTACTCCGTTGGTTGAAGTGAAAAAAGAAGCTAGAGATCTCGAAGATAGGAAGGAACCAAAGGGTAGTAGAAAAACGGAAACCACGAATATAGTGACAGATACGAGTCGGAATCTTGTCTCCTCCATGGGGAGGCCAGTTTCTACTTCTACCGTATCTGACGGTAGCTCAAAGGGTAGTGAAGTACAACCTGAAAGCTCTTATTCGTCTTCTACTTTTCGTAAGCAACAAGGAAGGAAACCTTACCAACTGAAGAAAGTAAGAGAAAGTTGGTTCGTCTGTTCCTACTTCGTTGCCTGCCCCTTTTCATCTGACCTTGTCCTTAGGACTCCAGAGGAACACGAACGCTTTGTGGAGGCTCTCAGAAAATACGGTAGAAACTGGAAAAGAATCCGAGATTGTGTTGGCGGAAAAGATTTGTTTCAGGTAAGAGCAGAAAGAGTTTTATTTTTTTTTGTCTAAAAATTCTATGTTTGTAGATACGAAGCCATGCTCAAAAGTATTTTATTAAAGTTCAGAAATATGGAATGCAAGAAACGATACCTCCACCTAGACCAAAGCGAAAATCTATCAAGGTTGATCCGTCACAAGGAAAACAAGAGATTAAGGAAGATACCTCTCGAGTTGACCCATTTGATGAACTTCATTGTTCCAATTCAAGCATAGTTCAAGATAGTTCTTCGAATAACGTCAGGCTACCACAGGCATCCAGTAGTGGTGACCAATTGAAGAAGTCAGCAGTTACACAGCTGTTTGCACCGCATAATATAGAAAAATGTGACGATTCTGAGGTGAGTTTGTTGTTTTTGGTTATACTTTAAATATAAAGTATAGTCTTCCAAGTTTGGACAAGTTCCAGAAATATCAGACGGATACCGTATGGGACAGATGGCGACAGGTCCAGATTTTGGGAAAGTTTATGATATATTTTCGCGAGTTTGTGAAGATGGAGGCGAAGAACAGGTCGAAAACAATCTCAAAGATGGCATTCGTAGTCTTTCTGTTGTAGACAAGTAAGTATATCATTTGCAGTCTCTTTCTTTTGCATAATATTCCTCCCTTAGAGAACTTGTTTGTCTTCTTGCGAAAAACATGAAAGCGAACGTATCCAAGGATGTGGTCAGTATAGTAGAAATTTTAAGCTCGTTAAAAAGTCTGATCAAGTCTGTAGTTTCGCAATGCTATAATTGAAGTCACGCAATCATCGACACGTAATTGCAACGACAAAGAATGGAACCCAAATGCAAATGAATAACTGGCAATTTCCCGATATGGCATTGTTTTTTTTGTAAATATTTAAAATATGAAAAGTTGTTTCATAAATGCAAAATTTATATGAGCACATTATTGTGTCTTGGATTGATTGGCTACCTATTAGAAACACTCCTTCATTTCGTGGGTCCTTTTGTTGTTAACAATATGTCAAGTCAAAACCAACTGCTTACTTGTCATCATCTGTCAAAGGCGTTGAAGGATCAAACCACCAAGTTCTTACCATTCCATCGTGTCCTATAACTGATTATAAAAGATATCATTTCCAACTGTCTACAACTCACCGCAACTTGCCAAAAGACTTTGCCTATTACACCATTGAGCGGCATAAATGGGACCCACACAAGGTCCAAGTTTTTGCACCAAATTACCAGTTTCTGTATCCCAAATGTAGACAAAACCATCTTCTGAGCCACCCACCACCAACCTCATAGGAAAACAATATCATTTACTTTGTGCTTTCCAATCTCTTTGCTTACTCTTCATTGGTACCAAATCCAACTCGAATAAAATTCTTACTGGTGTTTTGATGACCCTTGAAACGTCTTGTAGGTCGAGCCATACGTATATCCCAAAGACGATTGGAGTTGTCTTTCGAACTTGAAAGAAGTAAGCTTCCTGATGCATTTGTCTCCACAGCAGTGACCTAAATGCCAATCGTTCAAAAACCAACAAAAACAATCGCATATATACAGCTTACTTCTCCCAAATGGCTGCTTAGCGTTTTGACACAAACACCAGAAATCACATCCCAAAATTTGATGGTAGAATCTTTGCTACCAGAAATAATCAAATTGCCGTGAGGATTAAACACAGCCTTGGAAATAGATGCCTCATGTCCTGTAAATGTTTTGATAGTCTGTCCGGTTCGAACATCAACCAGTCTCAATGACTAATATTCCAACATAAAACTAACTATCGATGATATTTTAGAGAGTCGATTTACCTTGTCATATCCACCTGTCACGAGGTGGTTTTCTCTCGGATGATAACTAACCGTGTAAACATCTCGTGTATGTCCACTAATGACAGTTCGGCAACTACTCCGTATATCACTCTTAGCATCCCAAATACGGACTGTGCCATCACCACTAGCACTAGCGATAAATCCTAAACTCATTTTTATAAACATAAAAGAACAAAATGTAACCCATGCGTACCACCTCCACGAGTGACATCTATATCCCATATACGAGAAGTATGCCCAATAAAACTGGCTACTTTCTCACCACTTTCAGTATCCCATAATATTAAAGTATTGTCACTTGAACCAGAAACCAAATGAGCACCACTTTCTCCAACGAATTGGACACATTTGACATTACTTTGATGACCCACAAAACATTGTTTCTCGCGGTTTGGCAATACAAAGCAGTGATAATCTTCCAACAGAGTTTTGATTCGAGGAGCTGCCTTTGGGTGATATCTTGAGAATTCTATTTGATAAGCCACAGCCTAGATAATACATTATTCATTGAACATTACTGTAGTAAAAGAAGAAACACCTGTTGCAATAACTGGACAAGCCTAGATGGAGGAACTTGAACAGGCGCTGATGTATCTGTAACTTCAAAATCTAAAAGACGTTGAAACTGCTCCACTAAAGCTTCTCTTCCAGCCATAGTTCCATTCCAATCTCGAAAGGACTTGGCTTCGTTCACACTTTTGCAAGTGAGAAGGTAACATAAATCATGAAATTCCTCCAGTCTTTGTGCATATCCTTCCAATGACTTGAGCCTTTTTTGTAACAGAACGAATGCTTTTTGATATTCCTGTCGATCAACCAGTTCCAGATATTGTTGCTTGTACACTTCATAGAGAAAACTTTTCAAATTCTTAAAAGTGGCCTGTGAACAGAGTTTCTCAACCTCTGCCCAGTCACCTTCTAAAATGGCTGTCTTTACTCTCTGAAGATGTGCCTGTTGTGCTAACACGTCTTTATGTTTTACGTTTGCCTCATCCTGTAAAGCGGCAGCACTATAAAGATAGTCTTCTTCCTAAGAGACGAAATGGCAACAAGATAATATCAGAGTAAGAGTACTAGTGTACCTGCAAGTACTGCACGATAAGTCGTATAATATCTTCCTTCAAATGACGGTCACTGGGGTCTATGATTTGTTCGTACCAAGGGAAGGACCTTGACTGCTTTCCGACAGGAATTACGTTCTTTGATCTTTCATATATCATTTCTACTCTATTCTTGGTTTGACTATGCTCTTCATCATCGTTCCAAATAGGCGCGTTCCAGTCACTGTGTTGTTCGTGGTTCCCAGAAGCATGGGAGTCATTGTTTCCTTGTTTAGGTACGTAGACATTTTGACTCATATTTCTCCGTGAATTAAAAGTTGTTTCTACTTTTAAAAAAGCTACTTTTCATAACTTGGGTGTGTGTATCGACCAAGTCAAAGTTATTCATAAGATTGTCCCATCTCTACAGTGAAAAAGCGATGTACAAAACTTTCAATCCTGTTTAATTACATAATAAAAGCTTTTCGGATATCGTCNCTTGGAAAATCNAATACCTCTCCACTTTGAGGATCGTATATCTATTCNATCTCNTTCAGTGAGAACTTTCTTTCNATGGCTACCAAGCATAATAATAATAATACCTTTCCTCCATTTCTCTCTGCCATTTCTTTCAAAGCCTTTTCNCTNTAAGCATTTCCATTGGGAAGTATCATCGGTGGATTGTGTTCNTCCATAATCTCTCCTATTCATAATACAATAAGCAACTGCGACACTGCCAATCATCTTATCATCCTACCACTCATACGACAAACCAAAACTGAATGCACATGATGACTNAAAGGTAACTCTGTTGATAAACTTCGATAAGGTTCNTGACAAACAGGACAGTTNACATTGCGTTGATCTTCNTCNAAACAACAACTTGTCTTGAGAGCAGAGAGACCTGCTTTCATCACAATCTCTAACAAAGAATCTTTGGTCAATCCATTNAGTATATAATATTCCGTGCGAAAAGCTTGAATAAGCTCCTTCCAACGGTCTCTTGAATACAGCTGTCTGTAAGGTTCGCAACTNGTGGATTCTGGGAACGCAAGCAAAGTCAACACTCTACACTTACGCGATGAGCTTCTCATATAAAACAAACTATCATTATTTTACCTTTGAACTTGCTTCAATTGTTCTCTTGGACAAGTAGAAAGGTTCTTTCGTGCATACGATATGGCTTCNAACACTTTGCCTTGTCTCCTCAATTCCACAAAAACCTGCACATGCAAGTCNAATTCCAAACTGCTTTTCATCTTTTGTAGTTTCTTTCTNTTTTCTGCACACCATTTNAGTGCTTCTGAACAATCTCCCCTTGAAAGCGCATCCACTACACTTTTGTGGTTTAATACTT